CAAACAATGTATTGCATTAGGCAAATCTGCTGCACAAGACCTTTTTAAAGTGTTGAAGAACAAAGATGTCAGCTTGAGGACTAAGGTGTGCCTGATCCAAGCCATGGAATTTTCAATAACCTCATATGCATGCGAAAGCTAAAGAATGACTAAGGAAGATTGAAGAATTGATGCTTCTGAGTTATGGTGTTGGAGGAGACTACTGGAAAGTGCCATGGGCTGCCAAAAGAACAAACAGATTTGTGTTGGAAGAAGTGCAGTCAGAGTGTTCCTTGGAGGCCAGGATGGCCAAACTTTGTCTCTCATACTTCCGACATGTTGTCAGGAGGGACCAGTCACTGGAGAAGGATATCATGCTTGGTAAGGTGGCGGGTCAGAGAAAAAGAAGAAGACCCCCAGAGAGATGGATTGGCAAAGTGGCAGCATCAATAGGCTCAAGCGTGGCAACAATAGTGAGGTTGGCCCAGTATCAGGCATCTGACAGTTTTTCGTTGTTTCGTTCTTCTGTCTCTATGAGTCGGTACCGACTCGATGGCACCTAACAACAATATATATATATAGATAGATAGATAGATTCTACTTTTCCTCCTATGCCCACTCAGCATGTGTCCATCTATCTACCCTCAAACAGTGTTGTTCCAAGGTTGTGTATATATCACAATTTACCTCTATACCTTTTAGCCCTTGTATATCCTCCTGTGTCTTTAGCTTCATCATTCTGCCAACCTCCCTCTTCTTGTTCGTTGCCCTCCATGTCACCTAAACTAACATGTGTCTACCCTCTAGTCAGGGAACTCTTCTTCCTTCCCTCCCATGCCTGCCCTTTTTATTTTGAATGATTGAGCATTCCATGGTGAGCATATTTTGCTAGTATTGTTGTCCTCCCATAAACCTATCTACTGCTTGCCTGAAAATTGAGCCATGAGGGTGAGTTCCTTTCCAAACCTGAAAGGTGGTCGAGGGCCACATTGTTAGATTCCTCTAGTCCTTTCTGACCAGTAAATCGGTCTTGTTTTTCCTTTTCTTAATTAAACAATTTTGAGTTTTGTTTCACATTTTCTCCTACTCTATCTGAGATCATCTAATGTGATCCCTTTCAGGGCAGTTGGTAGTGGTAGCTGGGCATGGTCTAGTTCTGAATACCATTGGTTCTTGATCATATGCTACCTCCTGAAATGGCTGAATGTCGACCAATTCTTTTTGGTACAGTAACTGTATTCCTTCCATCTTCTTTAGATACTTCCTGCATCGTTCAATATTTTACCCACATAATCCTTCAATATAGTAACTCAAGGCTTGAATTTTTCTTTCAGTTCTTTCAATTTGAGAAATGCTGAGCATACTCTTCTTTTGTGATTTTATTATAATATTGCCTTCTTGAGCTGTTTTTTGAAATTTTTTGTTTAGCTCTTTTATTTCATCATTACGTTGACTTTCTTTTCATTTTACTTTTTCTATTACTTCATATGGAAATCATGTAGAAAAGGATAGGGAGAATAGTTGTACAACTTAAAGAATAAAATCAATGTCACTCCACTATGGCCCCTGACCACCCTTCAGGTCTGGAAAGGAACACACCCTCATGGCCCAACTTTCAGCCAAGCAGCAGATTGGTATATTGGCAGGTACAACAATACTAGTAGGGTATGCGCTCTATTGAAGAATGGAATGATCAATTATTCATAATCAAAACAGCCATATTTACCTAAGAACAAAGTTGAGAAGGGATGAGAAAGTAGATGGAATGGAAATACAAACTACAAGGAAGAAGTGGGATAACTATTGTATGGAGGGGACTGCAATCACTGAGATGAAACAAAGTGTATAATTTGTTGAATGTAAAGCTGATGATCTTGTCTGTAAACCTTCACTCATTTCACAATAAAAAGTTAAAAACAAAATCAAGGTCACTAAATTGTATATGTAGAAATTGTTGAGATGGCCTACATTTTGTTACGTATATTTCCTCAATCTAAAACCAAGAGACAGATGAATTGTTGTGATGTGCCTAGGAGTCAGTTCTGACTCATAGTGACCCTGTACAGGGTTTCCCAGGATGTAAATCTTTACAGAAGTAGAAAGCCTCATCTTTCTCCTGCGAAACGAAACAGCCGGTAGTTTTGAACTGCTGATCATGAGGTTCGCAGCCCTATTTGTAACCACTACGCTACCAGCGCTCCTTAAGAGACAGATGCATAGGAGGTTGGTTAAAACATAATGATGAAAACAGTGGCCGGTTACTGAGCACTTCCTGCTACACCCTAGCTTCAGAATTTCACTGACTGGATTTCTCAAAGGCATCCTATAAAATAGGTTCTGCTACAGTCTCCAGTTTCATGGCTGTGAGAAGCCAGGGTCAGAGGGACAGGTCAGTTTGAGTTCAGCTCTCGTTGAAGAGTCCAAGCTGTGTGTTTTCACAAAGAACGTGTGTGAGAGGTGCCCAAGGAGCAGACAGGCTGGAGTGTGGAAGGAGAGCAGCAGTTAGATGTTCAGAGGGGCTGTCCTAGAAGATCTGAGGAAAAGGAAGTACAGATGCAAGCAGCAGATCAGCTGGGTAGCCAGTGTCTTGGAATGAACAGGAGCTTGAAGAATTACCCGTCACTTCAAACCCCAGGTAAAATTCAAATAAAAGCAGGTTCCCAGTAACCACAGATGGTATGCACATTAAGCATCAATGAAGGCTTTTTCAACAAACCAAAACACTGGATTTTGTTCAGCTTGTTATCATGCTGAGCATTTTCACACACATCAGATCATCTAACTCTCTAGGTAACCTGGGTGTGTCTCAAGATTGTTGTTATTGTTAAGTGTCATCAAGTCAATTCCAACCCATAGTGACCCTGTATAGGGTTTTCAAGGAGCAGCTGGTGAGTTTGAACCACCGACCTGCTTGCAGTTCAAACGACTTTGCAGTCTGACGCATTAGCCCATAGCACCACACCAGCTCTCAAGATTGCTGTCCCAGTCTTCCAGATGGAAAAACAGAGACTCTAGGAGGTGAAGGAACTTGCTTCAAGTCATAGATTAGGTCTGTAAAACCCAGGCCCTCAGGTCAGTGCTCTGCCCTTGGCTTATCTCAGAATCCCTGGGACAGGGGTGGGAGTGGGTGCTCACCTGTGAAGCCCTTGTTAGGTGCACTGGGTAGGTGCTTGGGGGCATCTTCCAGTAAGGGGTCCAGGTGCTTTGTGCTGGCAGGCACCTCACTGGGCTCCCAGGTACCAGAACAGAAGAGGTTCATGGAGGGGTTCAGGTTGGTGTGGATCTCACAAATAGCTGTGGAGGAGAGAAAGCAGGTCAGCAGCTGGGACCTATGTCCCTAAGACATGTCAAGGTGGGCATGTTGTCAGGGGAAAGTGACTGAGTTCAGGGACAGATGAAGCACCTGGGACTTTTATTATGTTGTTGTTGTTGTTAAGTGCCGTCGAGTCGGTTCCGACCCATAGCGACCCTGTACAGGGTTTCCGAGGGTGTAAATCTTTACGGGAGTAGA